GGCGGCTCGTGGACGGGGCCTCCCTCCCGTGCCGTCGCCCCCGGAGGGCCCTAAGGAGGCGCTCCCCCAGCCCCCCCGGGGTCTCGCGCTCGTCGTGCAGGACCCCCCCGACGGAGCCGGCGACGTAGGTCATGAGGTTCTCCGTCAGGGTACCGGTCTTGTCGGTGAAGAGGTAGCGCACCTGGGAGAGCTGGGTGTTGAGGACGGAGGTCTTGGGCCGTGAGAGCTTTAGCTTCCCGGTGAACTCGTCAAAGACCGCCATCCGCTTGTCCACGCTGATCATCCACGTCTGGATAATTTTATTAAACTCCAAGGTCACGTAAAGCGACATCGGGATAAGGTAGGAGAGTAGCACGTTGTTGGTTAGGTAGCGCCACCAGAAGAGCCTTCTACCCCTCAACTCAGTTATCTTTTCCTGCAAGTACCACGTTGAGTATTCACTCTTTACCCCGGGCTTCTTCCTGAGCAGTTTTTCATTTACATGAACAGAGAGGATGCAGAGTATAATATTGCACACCTGCCCAATTAAAAATAGACAAATATTAAACTTGTTAAGACTGTGATCAATTACAGTGCTTTTATTCGTCTTTGACCGCATATTTTGCATAATCTTGGTGTTTTTACCGGTGTAAATCACCGCCGCGAGAACCCAGTCGGTGCTCCGAATAATGCACCCCCGCGGGAGGAATTGCGCATTTGATACGGCGATGATCTCATCTGAAGGAAACTGAACTTGTCCAATCCACGAATGAAAATCCATGCAAGGCAGGCTGCAATGAATCACAACGCCGTGGGATGTCTCTTTGCACTCCTTTTGTTGAATGGAGTAAGTGGTAAAGCTGCACGAAGAGTCTCCATACGACCGTCCTCTTTGTTCTCTTCCTTTTTCCTTCCCCTCCTCTTCCACACTTCCTTCTTTTTCTTGTATTTTAACCTGAGAAATGTTAATTATTCTGGATCCGTCGCCGCTAGGGGGTGCGGCAGCGTTTGAAAAGGCGCTTTCCTGGAGAGAATGGGGAGGCAAAGAAGGACTCCTTCTTATTGTCCCGCATTGCTGATTTATTCCTAAACCTTTCATAGAAGGCTTTTCATGAATCGGTTCGCTGCTGTTTGTATAGTCATCAAAGGTCTTCCATGTAGGCGAGTTGTGACTAATATGATTAGTTCCCCACATCCCTGCGCCCGGATCGGGATTTAAATTACTATTGGAATCTATATGAGTATTTTTATGGTTATTAACATTAACAGGAGGTAGATTGTGTGTTTCACCATTTTTGGTATCAACAGTATCATTGTAAGGGGCTTCGCTCTGATTCATATCGCATGGATTCTTTTTTAATCGATCAAGTGTAGAGATATACTGCGGCGAGGTGTGTTCAACCCCCTGCAAGCCTTCCACAGGGGAGACTTGCGGGAAGCCAGTACGAGTAGATTGAGAAAAGCTATCAAGCGGCCGTTTGTCATGGATGGGCAGCTCAAGATGTGAAGGATCCTTTTCATCTTCTTTAAAAGTTCTAAATGAACACCTGAAACTATTTTTTATCTCTTTATAATGTTGCTTGCCGGCATCTTCGACATTATCGACCTTTGAGAAAAGGCTAAGGCTCATTCTTTTCTTATTTTTATTGTCCTGAGAGTCCGACGCGAACCTTGTGTGGTTGTTGGAGCTACCAAGAGCAGTTTCCAGGATATCCTCGACGGTACCTAATTTTCTCACTGTTTCAATTTGCGCACGGCGCATTTTGGTATTAATCTCGCCGTCTAAATTACCGGTTTCGATGTACGCGAGGCCCTCCGAGAGCGACGTATTAAGGATCATGCAGTCTGCCTTCACCTCCTCACCAAGCTGAAGCAACATTACATCCCCAGGGGCGATTTTATAGCTCGGAATCGGGGTAAAGATATCATTTCGGAGAACATTGACCTCCATCTTATTTGCCCTGGTATCAGCCCTCGAGCGTTTAAAGTCCTCCCATAAATCTCTTACAATCCCCACCATGATCACAAAGCAAAAAGGGATCAGCATGCTAAGTGGGGTGACTGGGGTTGCTTCAGGCATAAGCTCGATAATCAGAATTAACAAGAAGTACATATTCGACACCTTGTTAAATTGGTTAAGAAGGCTTAGTGGAAGAGCATTAAAAATTGTATATTTTGCCGTGTTGATCGTGTTATCAGGGTAGCCATGCTTTGCGTTGAGGTCCGGGCGAAGGAGGTGGATTTCAAACAAATCCCCTTTCTCTTCGTTAGAATTGGCACCTTTGTGCGTAAAGACAGGAAATATACTAGAACAACTGCTAAAAAAATGGAATAGTCTCATAAGCCATTTTCTCCATATTTTTATAATCCTATTTAAGTATCTCATCACAGAATCAACTGGAAGACCACCCCTCCGAGTAGATAAGATAGGAGAGGTCTTGTTTAAGACTGACTGTGGGTGTAGATAAATGTGGAGAGGGAAGGAAGAAAAATAAGAGATGAACAAAAAGAAATAAAGAACCAATAAACACACGTAAAGAGATCCATATCGTGCAAGAAAATGATGCCATTATAGAATGTAACACTGGTAATTACGAATATATCGCACAGAGTATGAGGTGAGGGGTTAAATATACCCATATACTTGAATGCATTTATTTTTTACATTTTGTTTAACCGACGCTGGAGCTCCTCACAGAGTTTGACATAATCGACCGTATCGGAGTCCTCACTGGTTTCTGCCAGTGCAATGAGCTCATCCACCTCTTCCGCGGTGCTTTTCACACCCATCGACGCGAACATCTCGGCAAAGTACTTCCGGCTCACCCTCCCCGTTCCCTCTTTATCATGAGGATGGAAGGCGGAGTGCATCTCCTTCACCATCACGTCGTCCACTTCCTTTGTGAGCAGGGCGACGAACTCAGCGAAGTCGAGGCCGTCGGTGCGCTCGTCGCCGTGGACAACGCGGAGGAGCTCCCGCAGTTCCTCCGCACTGACGTGCATCCCCTCATTCACCATTACGGCGTGGAAATCGCTAATACTCACCGTGTTCGTCTTCTGGCCGCCGGTGAGGACGCAGAAACCCTCCTGGAGTTCGGAGATGGTGTTGTGGGTGAGTGTTCCGCGGAAATCCGGGCTAGCGAGGCATGTCACAAAAGTCGTCGGGGAGGAGGGCAGGGAAGAAGGAGGAGGGGGGAGGCTGCGGCCCGACGGAGAAGCGCTCATCGTGCTAAGCTAAGAGACCGTCCAACGTGAACGGTTTGGCTACAGGGCAATCGAACACAGACACTAAAATGGTGTGTTACAAGTACTATTATTGGGAGGGGTTCTTATATTTTTCAATTGAAGATCTCAGTAAAAAGTTTTCTCAATTTTTTGGTGTGTTTGTGTGTGTGAAAGAAAATATAAGAAATTAAGAAAAATGTATATGTGTAACAGTGTATAGAAACGATCACGTCCGAATCGTTCTCATACGAAACATAAAGAAGAGAGCGAAATCTGAAAATGCACAAAAAATCACAGTGATGAAAGATAACCCTAAGACAAAAGGGAAATACATATTTCAGGTATCCGAACAAAGAAAAAAAATAAGTAATCAGTAATGCTACTTATTCATTATTAAGCTAGATGATCATACGTTAGAAAAAAAATAGCGAAATCATTTCGTCTTTTCTTTAGTACAACAGCTGGGATACGTCATGAATTGATAAAAAAGTGAGAGTTCTAATCATTGCTTCTGTGAATTCACTGCAGATTGACCTGAGAGTAGTACCCCTCTGATGATCCCACAGTACGAGACCCCCTCTATGTTCCTTTTCCAAGCACTTTAAACCTACAAATTTGATCATTTCTTTGTGTTTGATATTATTGTCTCAATCCTGAATTTCAATAAAGGATATTGCCTTATTCAAACATTTTTCCCATCAATTTCAACAGATTATATTTGTAGAGGGGATTTCAACATTTTCACTGTCCGCCATTATCATAGAATATTCATCACCATGTTATGAACCACATCAGTCTTAAGATCAACATTCAAGAAATAAATAAGCGAGAAACTTTTTACATTACTATTTATATCCTTCATAGACAAGCTTGTTTCTCAAGTGAAGAATTGTGAGCGATATTAGTAATCTAGCGTAGGTCCTATAACCACAGCAAATGAAAAGAATGAAAGAAAAATACAATGGTTATTATTAAGAAACGTACGGAACCTTCTGTAACACACTACATTCCTTTCATATTTTAGATCACTAAAATATATCCCCGAATATAGAAAATATACATCTCAATACATCTTTTTATTAATCTATATAATAATAGTTTATCCTTTAAGTGTATCCTTGGACAAACATCAATCCAAAGCGTATCATATATTACATGTAGCATCCTAGGATACTACTATCGTATTTATATGTTGCTCTTTCTGACGTTGCCTTGGAACAAATAGATTCCAGAGGGCTTGCTCTACCCATCTTGGAAGCAAAATATATATATACCTATTTGCTCATCATAACTTTAACGAACTCTTCATAGTTAATCTGACCGTCACCATCAACGTCGGCTTCCCGAATCATCTCGTCCACCTCTTCGTCGGTAAGCTTCTCACCGAGGTTCGTCATCACGTGGCGTAGCTCAGCAGCCGAAATAAATCCGTTGCCGTCCTTGTCAAATACGCGGAAGGCTTCCTTGATTTCCTCTTCTGAGTCAGAATCCTGCATTTTACGCGACATCAAAGACAAGAACTCGGGAAAGTCGACGGTACCGCTTCCATCCTGGTCAATTTCGTTAATCATATCCTGCAGCTCCGCCTCGGTAGGGTTCTGTCCAAGTGAGCGCATCACAGTACCGAGCTCTTTCGTGGTGATCGTCCCATCGCCATCCTTGTCGAAAAGGGAGAAGGCTTCCTTGAACTCGGAGATTTGTTCGTTGGAGAGTTGGTCAGCCATTTTTAATGTATGTTTTTTCTTAAATGTGGATTGTGTATATTTGAATGCTTTTAGGCTAAAAGTGCTTGTTTATCTAAAAATGTAAATATTGTAACAACAGATTATTTATAGTGTAAAAGGTTTTAAAAAGGATCGTCACTATTTAATACATTTCAAATCCTAATCATACACCAAACGTATCAGGAAAAAGTAGATGTAGCAAATAAAATTTTAGATTTTATATCAGCACAGAAAGAGAAACAAGAATAGCAGTGTAAAACCTATATAAAAAAGAAACTTTAGTAGTAAAAAAAAAGAGGCACCTCCAGAAGATGGTCTCCCTTCCTTTACTTACCTTGAACAAATAGAATGCATACCTGTTACAGTGTTCTTCACTAATTAGATCTTTTGCTTTTAAGTTTTCACAAAATATGTTGGGTTGTTACAAAAAAGGGCACTTGTTTTGCTTTTTTTCTGATGATATTTAAATCGGGAAGCCTACATTTCATTTACCTTGTAAATGGAGAGGTTTCGCATTGGAGCGGAGCGACTCTAGAAGCTCATCCGGTTCTAGGCTCTCAAGGACACGCAGAAGAGTTTTGTTCATGGTGGGTATCACGGGTGGTAGCGACGGCGAGGATGTCGCCCCGCCCTTTCCTTTCCATTCTGTAGACTTCTTGCGATTATTAGGACCTTTCTTTTCCGGTGGATTAATTATTTCCCTGAATTCCTGTAAAATGTTCTTCGAGACCTGACCCTTTTTGCTATTCATCGCACAACCAAGTTCAATACGAAACGTATAATTAATAAGCGCAGCAAAGGGTGCGCAGATGGCCAGGGCGTAGTCCACAACGTCCGTCGCCACCGGTCTACTAGTGTAGAGCAGAAGAGCTTCCTTGAGCTCCGCATCCCGTACGGCCTCCGTATCTTTATTCACCTCGTCCCGCGCGTTCCCTGATCCCGTGGGGAGTTCCTCAACTCCCTCCGAGGCCAGATCCCTCGCTCCAGCCTCTTCTGTGACCTCTGAAACCGCCTCGGTATCGCTGGAGGAGCCCGCCGCCTCCGCCAGCCAGGCTTGCTGGACGCGCGCGAGGGCGTTCCCGTTGAGCCTCGCCCCCAGCCGTCGGTCCTCCTCGTCCTGTTCGCCGTATTTTGCTTGGATTGCCCGCAGTTTTCGCAGCTGCCGCTTTGTGGGTGGGCCTAAAGGGGCGTCCGGGGGAGGCCGGGCCGCCCGGGGAGGGCCCGTGAAAAAGGTCCCGCCCTTCCCTTTTGCCGGGAGCTCCGGCAGGGGAATTAGGCCGGCCGCTCTGTCGGCGGGGATGTAGTCCACCCAGGGCGTCCCCGTGCTCACGTCAAGAAGGGGGGCGCCCTGCCAGCCCGAGGGGGGAGCGAACCTGGTGCGCTCTTCGCCTCCTCCACCG